GAGACTTGTGCTTCTCTTGTGAATGAATTTGCATGGTCCAAAAGTGAACCTTTACAAGAGACGAGCTAATCTAGTGGCCATTGCATAAGCCGGGTGCTCACTTTCCCCTGGTATGTTACTCTTTTCACGACACGACTCTCTATAAGCCTTAATGCTCTTCGGAGCATCTTGTATCCTGTCAGCAAACTCAGTGTGTACAATCTTAAGCTAAGATCACACCGTGACGATAAGATGGCGTTGCATATTTGAGAATGATGAAGTGACATTATCCCAAGGCAATTCAACTCTAGCTCGCAATCGGCATCATCAGCTCATCCTGCTCATTCGAATCACAGCGACGACTCCTGTGGTAAGCTATGAGAGATATGAGCAGAACTGGAACCCCACTTGCTCACTATGTTTCCTATCCATCATCCGATAAGATGTGCCCTCACGAACTCGATCGCAATGGTGGAGGGTAAGGAGATTCAAGCTGACATGCATGCTGCAGTACATTGTGCTGCACGTATGCACATCCGTGCAGGGTCGGCATGGGTATGCGTGCGTAGTGTGACGGCACTTCAGACACGTCTGCTCAAGCAACAGTCCTCGACCTCTTCCAAGGATGATCCTTGCCAACTACGGCTCCTACGAGACCCGACAACATTAGTCCTTTTTTCAATACCATAAATCTTCGTTCTATGACCCAACAGGAGGATCTGCCCACCGAAGGAATCTACATTTGGCGAGGAGGCCGCATGCCCGACAGCGAAGAACGTGAAATGGTCAGGTTTGGTCTGTTTTATCCACATCCAAGCGAGAAGGGTCCGGAGGGACTCTCAACCCTGGATCTTCAAAGTTGCATTTTCACTGACAAACCACATCTAGGAGGCATCAGATGGACCTACGTCGCGGAAGATGAGGACAACATCAAACTCGATTATACCAATGCCAGTTTCTGCAGCATGGAGCAGACGACGCCAACATGGGCTCAAGCCTTCTTCGAGCGTTATGATGTGGATCCAAAGGAATGCGCACAAGCTCGTTATGATAAGAACTTGGAAGAAGTCACGCTGCAGTTGAAAGGAGAGGCGTATGTGATGACTCTTCCACAGCATCAAGGCAAAGAACACTCAGCCTGAAGCTCACACAACATTCAGGGGATATGATGCTGAGATATTTGAAGGTAGCATCGGAGCACCATGTGAA